AATTTATAAAAACATTCCACTTTGACATTATTGGGTATTGTGTGTAGGCCAGTGACACAAAGTCTCTATGTAATCTGTAACACAACAACTTTTGGAAAAAGTCAAGGGGTGTGAATATTTTCTGAAGGCACTGTACCATCAGGAGTGTTGTGTTTGCATTTTATGTTACTCCTACACCTGATGCGTATGACGCAAGTTACTGTATTAGGTGTAGTGTACTCTTCAGAGACTAGTGTTTCTTCATAGGAAATAAACTCCAAGAGTAAATATACCCTCCAGGCTCAAGCTGCCTATGTAGCAGGTAGCATTGACTGCACTGGGAGTGTGTGTGCTCAGCTGTGGCTCCGGTCCGCCAAGACACACACAGCTGGTGTAGCAAACCACAACAATGTAATGATTACAATGATGTTGTGATGCAGAACAGGCCACATTACTCACACATGGGGTCTGATTCAACAGATACGTAATTAATCAAGGGATCCAGATTTATCCAACTAATTTTATGCCTAATATCTACGTTTTAACGGAATGCACAGGTGTCATGAAGAAAACTGCAGATGATTACATTAAAAGGTCTACATAACCAGTAGAAAGACATTTGTCTTGTCATTGTTGCGGCGATCACATCTCTCAGCTCTATACATCCCCGTTCCTATAGAGCAGGAGAGACCTGCCTGGCATCTGGCGAATTAGCTGTCTGTTCATGTCCTGTCCTAGGAAAAGGTCTCTAGCTCCCTGATGAGGTAGTAATTGAAGGGCATCCCCTCTTTGGAAATGAGATCAGGCATTAGTCATGCACCTTTACGCCTGTCCCACATCCACCCACTCTCCCTTTACTTCCTGTCCTCTTCTTCGGCTGGCTTTAGTATTGATCCGGTGTGCTCCTTCTATCATGACCCAGGGAGCAGGACTAAAGAGGGATGACTGCCTGTAAAGGAGTGTGGGATACCACTTTTGAGAATTGTCCCCTTTTGACACTCAGAAACACAGCCCTGGCAATGTGTTTGCACCACATCTATTTCCCCATTTTTGGGTGCAGTCTGCACAGATTTGACCAGGACATATGTTTGAACAGCAGTAGCAAATGTTGGGAAAGGGGGTTGTTGAATTCATTTTATTTACATACAGTAAAGGTCTCTCCCTCTTCGCTTGCTTGGATTACTTTGGAGCACTTTGTTCCTGGTGAAAACAATGCCTCATCCATATCCTATTCCACAGCAATGAAAACGTTAGTTTTATCTTCCGCGGTGGTTTTAGCGTTTCCTGACAAGGGAAACCTGACCAAGGAGGTATTGATCAAAGCCCATTTCCAGTATTTGGTTCTGTTGTGGGGATGCTGATGGGGCATAGTGCATTATAAATGAGCTGCATTGTGTCAGACTACTTTAGAGGTTCATTTATCACGCAGACCTCTCAAACTGCACTTTGTGAGTGGGGTCATTCTGGGGGAAAATTGCAGAGCTGGATGGTGGGGATGGAGAATGTGGACATGAATAATGAGAATTTGCAAAGCTCGGTCTGCTCGTATTATGTGTGAGATACTCAGAGGGGATGGATTGTGTGACGCTCGTTTCCCTCGATGACTCAATTGGTTTATGACAGTGTCACAAATGTGGGACTTTACTTGAACTGGCTTTCTGCAAGAGCATATGTAAGGGATAATCAAGGAAGGGCTGACGTAGGGGGTTTGATGCAGTCCCCGAGGCTGAACTTGAGTTAGCAACCAACAACCTACCTGTCATTAATATTATTGATTAAAATAAAGAAGAGGGCCGTCAACTGAGAAGCTGACCAGTCTCAACTTGGCCACAGTTACGATCCGACACACACACAACACATCGACATATCAGAGGCTCTTGTTAGCGGGGCACGACTAACTGTCCTTGACTTGACACCACAGGTGGTCCTAAAAGCCACCCAGATATGCAAATGATGCCATTCCGTGACATAGCATAACGCCACTGTGTGACATAGAAGCAGACTCCCAGGGGGCGAGACAGGGAGTAATGGGATTTGGAATGTTCTCCTGCATCCCCACTGTGATGCTACGTCAAAGAGGGGATGGTGTGACAGACAATTCTACCCCTTTCTCTGTTTTAATTAATGTGTGTGAATATACAGTGGGGGAAAAAAGTATTTAGTCAGCCACCAATTGTGCAAGTTCTCCCACTTAAAAAGATGAGAGAGGCCTGTAGTTTTCATCATAGGTACACGTCAACTATGACAGACAAATTGAGGAAAACAAATCCAGAAAATCACATTGTAGGATTTTTTATGAATTTATTTGCAAATTATGGTGGAAAATAAGTATTTGGTCACCTACAAACAAGCAAGATTTCTGGCTCTCACAGACCTGTAACTTCTTCTTTAAGAGGCTCCTCTGTCCTCCACTCGTTACCTGTATTAATGGCACCTGTTTGAACTTGTTATCAGTATAAAAGACACCTGTCCACAACCTCAAACAGTCACACTCCAAACTCCACTATGGCCAAGACCAAAGAGCTGTCAAAGGACACCAGAAACAAAATTGTAGACCTGCACCAGTCTGGGAAGACTGAATCTGCAATAGGTAAGCAGCTTGGTTTGAAGAAATCAACTGTGGGAGCAATTATTAGGAATTGGAAGACATACAAGACCACTGATAATCTCCCTCGATCTGGGGCTCCACGCAAGATCTCACCCCGTGGGGTCAAAATGATCACAAGAACGGTGAGCAAAAATCCCAGAACCACACGGGGGGACCTAGTGAATGACCTGCAGAGAGCTAGGACCAAAGTAACAAAGCCTACAATCAGTAACACACTACGCCGCCAGGGACTCAAATCCTGCAGTGCCAGACGTGTCCCCCTGCTTAAGCCAGTACATGTCCAGGCCCGTCTTAAGTTTGCTAGAGTGCATTTGGATGATCCAGAAGAGGGTTGGGAGAATGTCATATGGTCAGATGAAAAGAAAATATAACATTTTGGTAAAAACTCAACTCGTCGTGTTTGGAGGACAAAGAATGCTGAGTTGCATCCAAAGAACGCCATACCTACTGTGAAGCAAGGGGGTGGAAACATCATGATTTGGGGCTGTTTTTCTGCAACGGGACCAGGACGACTGATCCGTGTAAAGGAAAGAATGAATGGGGCCATGTATCGTGAGATTTTGAGTGAAAACCTCCTTCCATCAGCAAGGGCATTGAAGATGAAACGTGGCTGGGTCTTTCAGCATGACAATGATCCCAAACACACCGCCCGGGCAACGAAGGAGTGGCTTCGTAAGAAGCATTTCAAGGTCCTGGAGTGGCCTAGCCAGTCTCCAGATCTCAACCCCATAGAAAATCTTTGGAGGGAGTTGAAAGTCTGTGTTGCCCAGCGACAGCCCCAAAACATCACTGCTCTAGAGGAGATCTGCATGGAGGAATGGGCCAAAATACCAGCAACAGTGTGTGAAAACCTTGTGAAGACTTACAGAAAACGTTTGACCTGTGTCATTGCCAACAAAGGGTATATAACAAAGTATTGAGAAACTTTTGTTATTGACCAAATACTTATTTTCCACCATAATTTGCAACTAAATTCATTAAAAATCCTACAATGTGATTTTCTGGAAAAAAAATTCTCATTTTGTCTGTCATAGTTGACATGTACCCATGATGAAAATTACAGGCCTCTCTCATCTTTTTAAGTGGGAGAACTTGCACAATTGGTGGCTGACTAAATACTTTTTTCCCCCACTGTATGTGCATGTGTGTGTATGTATGTATGTATGTGTGTGTGTGTCTGCAAAATTCATTTTTTCCCTCTCCAAGAGGAGGACTTCAAAGTGGTCGTTTGCATCAATTATTGAAACGCTGGCGCGCATTAGGAGAAGGGGTCCCCCATGTTGGACTGGGCTTTACGCTCTGCTTGGGCTGCATTTCAGAGCTAGTTATCACTCAACCTAATTGGAATTAGATGCCAGTAACAAAGAAGCTTAGAGGCCCCTTTAAAGAAAGAAAAAAAACTCCCACCCACAAACATCTCTTTGATTTTATCCACATCCTCCATCCCTTCTTTATTCCATTCCATAACTGTTAGCTTATAGCACTCTAACACACAAGCTGTGATACATACTGTAATGTACATTCAAGACACGGGGTAGCACACTTATCTCATGTATTAATAATCCCATTCTTTAATCTTATGCTCTAGGTGGCTAACCTGTTGCTGGAATCGAATGAATTAATCAGACAATCAATTAGGGGCGCAAGCATTAAAACGATGTACAAAGTGTTCCCGGATCAAGGCGCTCTCCTGCATCTTTGATGATCACTTTTGCATTTCCAAATAACATCCAGGGGTAGCTTGCTGCGCTGCTGTTTTGATTCCAAAATAAATTGGCACGTGGCCAAGGCATCGTCATCGCATTATGATCCAGTCCAATAATTACACACTGCAGTCTCATGCTAGACGGGAGGAATATACTGTCCTCTGTTGGGTTACTGTCCTCTGTTGGGTTACTGTCCTCTGTTGGGTTACTGTCCTCTGTTGGGTTACTTCCCCCTTCTGGCTTTATGTATTATGGTACGGTAGTGCTCAATTCAGTTTCCATTCCAGTTCCGTAAATCAGTTGAAATTCCATTAATGAACAATTGAATAACTGGAACGTTTCACCAGCCTCTTGTTTTAAGTTGAATCAATGTTGTGAGTACATGGATGTCCTCCCTGCACTAAATCATCATGTTGTGAGTACATGGATGTCCTCCCTGCACTAAATCATCATGTTGTGAGTACATGGATGTCCTCCCTGCACTAAATCATCATGTTGTGAGTACATGGACGTCCTCCCTGCACTAAATCATCTGTTTCAAGGCTTATATGACAAATCTACCAAATCGTCTACTTCATCATTGGTCTGCTACAGTAAGACAAACACAAGCTCACAAGATAAACACAAGGTTAGCTGGTACCTGGGCTGTTGTGAATCAGTGTAGGTTGGAATTAATTAACTTATGAATGTATCATCACTAATGACACTTAATGGTGTGAGGGGGCTGAGTGTACAGTAACTGACCTGTTCTCTGAGCTGAGGTAGCAGACGAGGTGGGCAGCCCAGAGCAGGGGCCCGGCGTACGTGCTGAGGACAGTGAGGAAGACAGCCGGGGCCTCTACGTAGCTCTCCAGTCCCACGAAGCCCACCGAGATGTCCACCGTGGCAATGCTGTTGGAGTTCCCCTACAGACAAACAAACAGCCAAACAGAAGATGTCAGTTTTATTAAGCTTCATTTTCACACCTAACCTTAGCTTACTTAGCTAACTTAGTAGCTAAGTAACGTAGCTTTGTTAGCTAAAGTAGCTAACATAGCTAGTGTAGCTAACTAGGTTAGCTAATGTGTGTATTTAAGTTAGCTAATGTAGCTAAGTTAACTAACCTCACTAACTACACCTGACTTAACCTTGGGTAAAATGAATATGAAGATTACGCAATACACTCAATGTTAACTTTCGAAAGAATCTGATATTATTAAAATGTGTCGGTCTCCTGCATGCTCCTCCACTTAACAGGTAGCTATTCAGAGCTTGCCGTCTGTCACTTCTCTGGCCCTGTAGTGACGGGGTAAAAACTCCCCTCGGCCTCATCTCTCCTCCCCACTCTTTTTGGCCCAGTCTCTCATTCCCCTTTCCATTTCCTGACGAGGGCTCAGGTGTGATGGAAGAGCTCTCGCCGATTGCCGCGGGAGCTGAATTAATTCCCTGGCTGATGAGGGCCACTAGCTCCCCTCTCTCTCGCCTGGAGGGGTGGATGGATGGATGGATGGAGTGCGTGCGTGCATGCTCGTGTGTGTGAAAATACCCGTTATGTCAAAGAGCATGACTAAGACACCCTCCAATGGACAAACCCAACACCATATTTTAGTGGATCATTCAATCATGTATGTTCAACAGTTCCACACAGCCGAACATGGAGTGGCTTCAATAGGAGTCTTAGGACATTGGGCTGCTCAGCTTGGCCTACAGTAGGGCTGGGTTACAGCTTTGTTGAGACTAACCATTACCCAGGGTCTATAATTGTTTGTGTGTGTGTGTGTGTGTGTGTGTGTGTGTGTGTGTGTGTGTAATTATACAAAATATAATTGTACAATAGTCAATAAAGACACTTGATTATGTTCACCAAAATAGAAAGACATGAGGAAATCTATAAGTCAGTGACCTCTTCTATCCTGCATGAAAAAGTGACCTACCTACACACACATATCTCGTTCACATCTTCATTTAGAAAAGTACTTCATCTGCTGTGTGGGAGATCCGCACTCAAAATAAGAGATGTAATAGTTTTTTTCCTCATGCTTTTAAATAGATTTTTGGAGTGCAGATCCACCTCATCTAACGGTCCCTTACCTGGAAGTAGAAGAAGGCTTGTCCGAACCAGTAGTGCATGATGGTGGTCTGGGCAGCGTCGTAGTGGAGCTTCTTCCAGATGAACTGGGCCATCAGAGTCTGGACCAGCAAGCAGCAACACAGCACCGGCAGGTTGTGGGCCCGGAACAACAGGGCCACCAACAGAACCACACCACTGTAAGAAAATTACTTTATTGTCCAATTTACAATATGAGTAAATAAGACAAATAATTTGTTCTAAACTGACTTGCATGGTTCAATAAAGGTTGAATAAAACAATGTACACGAATGCCAGACGAAAATTCGAACAGGATTCAAACTCGCCACCTACCGATTGCTAGCCCGCCTCTATTCTCTAAGCTATTTGCCGCGTAGGCTACCTACCTGTAGATTTCCCACAAGCCCCTGCTCTTCAGCCGGGCATCGGCTGTGATGACCTGAGACCGCAACAGGTCCTTGGAGCCCGTGAAGAGGATGCCCAGGACGAAGACGTACACGAAGCGCGCCTCCACAATCCCCCTGAGAAAAGAGATGAAGTGGTTAGCCTGTTTAAAACATTGTTCAAGGAACTCAAGTGTCCAAAGGCTGACCACTCAATCTGAATGCCCAATAACCTGTTACTAGGCCCAGGTCCAGTTCAGATTGAGTTAGTTTTAGTTTTATTTTCTTGTTTTTCTTTGTTGATGTAACATTTTTCTCAGTATTTTTTTTGCTGTTTTGCAGTTTCCACAACACCTTCAACCTGCAGCTGCAGTTGCCTTTACAAACACCCTCAAAACGTTTCATTACAAAACAGCCCCATCTCGGTAAAGAACGGCAGCCATTTCGTACCTCACTAGACATTTATATCCGTGGAGAGAGGTGAGAAGTTCATCTGTTTATTTATTGATGAGTGTTTTACTCTCTCATGGGCCCAGATGAAAAGAACACGGATATATAGTCTCCATTTCACAGCATAAAGTGGAGGTGAGTGGAGCTTAGTATACTCTGCTCTAACTTGGAACAAACCTGGGGACAAACCTGGGGACAGGTGAAAAAAATAATGGTGGACTGAGGCCCAGTAGTGGAAAAATATCCTAAAATATTTATTGACTTACTAACCCAAAACAATGTGTTGAGATCTTAGAAAGTGAGCTTGCACACTTCAGATAATAAAAATACAGACTTTTCCCCAAGCTAACGGATACCTTTTCAAGACCAATAATTGCTCGTTTGCAGCAATTATTGTGAGGAGATGACTGATTCATAGTTCATGCGAGTCCTGATCGAACGTCATTTTATCCAGGTCTATGCCCAAACAGTTTGAGCTTCTACTTCTAAAAATCCACCTTTCCAGAAATAAGTCTCTCACTGTTGCCACTTGCTACAGAACCCCCTCAGCCCCCAGTTGTGCCCTGGACAACATATGTGAATTGCTTGCCCCCCATCTATCCTCAGAGTTCGTACTGCTTGGTGACCTAAACTGGGATATGCTTAACACCCCGGCCGTCCTACAATCTAAACTAGATGCCCTCAATCTCACACAAATTATCAAGGAACCTACCAGGTACAATCCTAAATCCGTAAACATGGGCACCCTCATAGATATCATCCTGACTAATTTACCCTCTAAATACACATCCGCTGTCTTCAACCAGGATCTCAGCGATCACTGCCTCATTGCCTGCGTCCATAATGGGTCCGTGGTCAAACAACCACCCCTCATCACTGTCAAATGCTCCCTAAAACACTTCAGCGAGCAGGCCTTTCTAATTGACCTGGCCCGGGTATCCTGGATGGATATTGACCTCATTCCGTCAGTAGAGGATGCCTGGATGTTCTTCAAAAGTGCTTTCCTCTCCATCTTAAATAAGTAAGCCCCATTCAAAAAATTCAGAACTAAGAACAGATATAGCCCCTGGTTCACCCCAGACTTGACTGCCCTTGACCAGCACAAAAACATTCTGTGGCGTACTGCATTAGCGTCGAACAGCCCCCAAGATATGCAACTTTTCAGGGAAGTCAGGAACCAATATACACAATCAGTTAGGAAAGCAAAGGCTAGCTTTTCAAACAGAAATGTGGATCCTGTAGCACTAACTCCAAAAAGTTTTGGGACACTGTAAAGTCCATGGAGAATAAGAGCACCTCCTCCCAGCTACCGACTGCACTGAGGCTAGGAAACACTGTCACCACCGATAAATCTACCATAATCGAGAATTTCAATAAGCATTTTGCTACGGCTGGCCATGCTTTCCACCTGGCTACCCCTACCCCGGCCACCAGCTCTGCACCCTCCGCTGCAACTTGCCCATACATATGATACATGGCCCCATTCATTCTTTCCTTTACACGGATCAGTCGTCCTGGTCCCTTTGCAGAAAAACAGCCCCAAAGCATGATGTTTCCACCCCCATGCTTCACAGTAGGTATGGTGTTCTTTGGATGCAACTCAGCATTCTTTGTCCTCCAAACACGACGAGTTGAGTTTTTACCAAAAAGTTATATTTTGGTTTCATCTGACCATATGACATTCTCCCAATCCTCTTATGGATCATCCAAATGCACTCTAGCAAACTTCAGACGGGCCTGGACATGTACTGGCTTAAGCAGGGGGACACGTCTGGCACTGCAGGATTTGAGTCCCTGGCGGCGTAGTGTGTTACTGATGGTAGGCTTTGTTACTTTGGTCCTAGCTCTCTGCAGGTCATTCACTAGGTCCCCCCGTGTGGTTCTGGGATTTTTGCTCACCGTTCTTGTGATCATTTTGACCCCACAGGGTGAGATCTTGTATGGAGCCCCAGATTGAGGGAGATTATCAGTGGTCTTGTATGTCTTCCATTTCCTAATAATTGCTCCCACAGTTGATTTCTTCAAACCAAGCTGCTTACCTATTGCAGATTCAGTCTTCCCAGCCTGGTGCAGGTCTACAATTTTGTTTCTGGTGTCCTTTGACAGCTCTTTGGTCTTGGCCATAGTGGAGTTTGGAGTGTGACTGTTTGAGGTTGTGGACAGGTGTCTTTTATACTGATAACAAGTTCAAACAGGTGCCATTAATACAGGTAACGAGTGGAGGACAGAGGAGCCTCTTAAAGAAGAAGTTACAGGTCTGTGAGAGCCAGAAATCTTGCTTGTTTGTAGGTGACCAAATACTTATTTTCCACCATAATTTGCAAATAAATTGATAAAAAATCCTACAATGTGATTTTCTGGATTTATTTTTCTCAATTTGTCTGTCATAGTTGACGTGTACCTATGATGAAAATTACAGGCCTCTCTCATCTTTTTAAGTGGGAGAACTTGCACAATTGATGGCTGACTAAATACTTTTTTTCCCCACTGTATATCCATCCTGCCCTGCCTTTCAAATACTTTCGAAAGACAAGTTAACAAACAGATCATCGACCATTTCGAATCCCACCGTACCTTCTCCGCTATGCATTCTGGTTTCCGAGCTGGTCATGGGTGCACCTCAGCCACGCTCAAGGTCCTAAACGATATAATAACCGCGATCGATAAAATACAGTACTGTGCAGCTGCCTTCATCGACCTGGCCAAGGCTTTTGACTCTGTCAATCCCCGAATTCTTATTGGCAGACTAAATAGCCTTGGTTTCTCAAATGACTGCCTCACCTGGTTCACCAACTACTTCTCAGATAGAATTCAATGTGTCAAATCGGTGGGCCTGTTGTCTGGACCTCTGGCAGTCTCTATGGGGGTGCCACAAGGTTCAATTCTCGGGCCGACACTATTCTCTGTGTATATCAATGATGTCGCTCTTGCTGCTGGTGACTCTCAGATCCACCTCTACGGAGACGACACCATTTTGTATACATCTGGCCCTTCATTGGACACTGTGTTAACAAACCTCCAAACGAGCTTCAATGCCATACAACACTCCTTCCATGGCCTCCAACTGCCCTTAAACGCTAGAAAAACTAAATGCATGCTCTTCAATCGAATGCTGATTGCACCTGCCCGCCCGACTAGAATCACTACTTTCGGCGGGTCTGACTTAGAATATGTGGACAACTACAAATACCTAAGTGTCTGGTTAGACCGTAAACTCTCCTTCCAGACTCACATTAAGCATCTCCAATCCAAAGTTAAATCTAGAATTGGCTTCCTATTTCGCAACAAAGCCTCCTTCACTCATGCTGCTAAACATGCCCTCGTAAAACTGACTATCCTACCGATTCTTGACTTCGGCGATGTCATTTACAAAATAGCTTCCAACACTCTACTCAGCAAATTGGATGTAGTCTATCACAGTGCCATCCGTTTTGTCACCAAAGCCTCATATACTACCCACCATTGTGACCTGTACGCTCTCGTTGGCTGGCCCTCAATACATATTCGTCGCCAAACCCACTGGCTCCGGGTCATCTATAAATCACTTCTAGGCAAATCCCCGCCTTATCTTAGATCATTGGTCACCATAGCAACACCCACCCAAGGTATGCGTTCCAGCAGATATATCTCACTGGTCATCCCCAAAGCCAACACCTCCATTGGCTGCCATTCCTTCCAGTTCTCTGCTGCATATGACTGGAACAAACTGCAAAAATCTCTGAAGCTGGAGACACTTATCTCCCTCAATAACTTTAAGCATTAGTTGTCAGAGCAGCTTACCGATCACTGCACCTGTACACAGCCCATCTGTAATTAGCTCACCCAACTACCTCATCCCCATATTGTTATTTACATTGTTATTTATTTTGCTCATTTGCACCCCAGTATCTCTATTTGCACATCTTCCTCTGCACATCTATCACTCCAGTGTTAATACTAAATTGTAATTATTTTGCACTATGGCCTATTTATTGCCTGACCTCCATAACTTACTACATTTGCACACACTGTATATACATTTTCTATTGTGTTATTGACTGTACGTTTTGTATATTCCATATGTAACTCTGTTGTTGTTGTTGTTTTTAATCGCACTGCTTTGCTTTATCTTGGCCAGGTCGCAGCTGTAAATGAGAACTTGTTCTCAACTGGTTAAATAAATGTGATATAAAAAATAAAAATAAAAAGACTGTAGTGTATAAATACATACTTTTTAAAGTCTTGAAAATGGCTATTTGTCCGTAACTTTTTCACACTTTAAG